TCAGGGAGGTGCCAGCCTCATCCTCTTGAACTTCCCACGCTCCTCCGGTGAACTAAGGACATGCTTATCTCCCCGAGCCTGGCTTTCATAATTCCATTCCATCACAGTGCCACACTCATGCTCCCATGCATTCTGAAGTAAGACTTTGGAGTCATTCTTGAAGCATGCACTGCTTTACTGCTCACTGTGATGTGTTTGGGTACCTGACTGACTGAATGACCATCCCTGCTTTAGATGGTATGTGCATTTCTCTACTTTCAATACTTTAGAATGTGGCAAATTTGCCTCATTGCATTGGAGGCCCTTCTGCTTAGGCTGTTGGTATCTGCCCCCAAATGCTAATTCAAAGGAACCACTATTAGGTAAGTCACAATAGGTACAAGTTTAAATGATGCGATATTCAGTGTAGTGCGAATTGTAACTTGATACCAGGTCGCATTTAAGGTGACCCAAAATTCAGTTAATGCGAGGCTAGCGCACCCACAGTTGTGGTTGAGATTTTCGAAGCTACTAATCTTCGTGTGGGCAAAATGGAGAAAAGGAAGCTTCCATCACAGGAAAACAGTACAAGTTTTAAAAAGAAGAGGCTCATTAAAATTTGATGTAATTGAATGACATGAACGTGGTCATAACGACACTAAAATAGGACGAGATGTTGGAGGGCCTGGATCTATGGTAGAATTATTTTGTTTACCATAAATTTAAATTATAAGTATATTCTTTTTATCCTTTATTGTAATATTTCTCTCTCTCTCACACACACACACACACCCATAATGTTCAACATTTTTCATTGCCTATTTCCATCGATCTGGAACCAATTACCCTATTTTCCATAGAAATATCACTCTGAGTAATGCAAGTTCGACCAACGTAACCATTTTGTGGGATTCATTAACTGCACTAATCGAGATCTACTTGCACCACATGAATAGGAGAAGACCCACAGTTGCTGTAGAATATTATGGGAACTTGAAAACTCTTTTAGATGTTCAGGTTTCCAGCAGAATGACTGATTGACTTTCCACTGATGGTTCCTGTTGGGTTGTGGCTTTGCTTTCTGGCTTGTTTGCTCCACCACGAAGGCTCCACACACTGACCACAGATCTTATTTTGAACGGTAGACCAATTCCTCTTTCCTTACTCTGTCGCCTTGCTGTTGCCAGCTCTGGGGGGTTGTCGTCGGAGATGCTGCTCCAGCAGAGAGAAACATCAGGGCTTGGCTTTGCTGGCGGTCCGGCTGCAAAATCTGCTTGAATGGAAAGTGAAGCCTCACCCAGTATTCCAAAAGACCATAATCCTCACTCTTGGGACCTGGAGGGATAAGGGTAGGGAATGCAAGTGGGAAAAAAGCCACATTTTGGATGGGCAAAGGAAGGGTTGGAGCAGAATAATAATAATAACCAAAAAAAAAGTGAAATGCTGTTCCTCTTTGTCCCGTAAACAGAGATCAGGAGCATTCCCAGGGGGCTCAAGAGAGTCAAGGTGGTGGCCACAACCACATGATCAAAGCTCTGTCCCTTTTCAATGTGTGCTAGCAGCTTTGATCATGTAGTTGAGGCCGCCTTTTTAACCTTCTTGAACCTCACCCTCCTGCCTGAGGATACCCCTGACAGAGACAGATAAAAGATAGATCAGGATCTGCTGATCCCTAGTCACTTAACAAGAGCAAGCACCATGTGGTTTGATGATGGGACAAAGACTGGAGCCACCCAGGTTTAGGTTCCCACTCAGCCATCATGCTTTGCACCAGCTTAAACTACTGAGTTATTGTAAGGATAAAATCTGCTTTCTTTTCCTCCTAGAGGAGAGAAGGAAAGGTACGGTATAAATATAAGATTTTTTTCACCCAATGGCTTTCCTTGTGCTTCTTATTCATCTCTCAACCTAAGTGTTCCTCATCTATAAACATGTGCAGTGCTCAGGTGCCCTTGATCAGATCTTGCCAGCCAATGTTAAGAATTTTGCGTTAGAATCCCCCCCCCCCAATCAATCACAACTCACTTGTCCTTGCAAATACAAGATTATACTGTATTTTGCTTGCTGGGAGGGGAAATAGATATCTCCCTTCCACAAAAAAATAAAATCCAGTAAATCTCATCTGACTTTGCTCCAACTAAGTGGTCCCTGCTTCTGAGACTCTATTCAAAATTAAAATTCATTCTACAGCTCTGAAGTCTGCTTCCCCCGCCTCTCATGTCAAGGTCTTTTAAATCTTCCTGTTAATCAGTGTACACAAACACAACGTGCATGGGTGCCTAGTGTTTTTTTCAGCCTCGAGAAATTGGTTAAGGTCAAATTCACATGTTGCAGTATACTGTCATGCAGTTTGCTTGATTGGGCTCAATGTGATGTGAGAACCCAGCCCCTGAGCTCGTAAACCATAGTTTATGGATTAGCCTGGTATGTAAACCCCTCTAATGGTGGCTTTGTCAGCAAATCAGAACTTACCAGGACACATGAACTGTGCAAAAATGGCTGAATTTGATTTTATAGAGCTCCTGTATGAATCAGCCCTTCCCAATCTGGGGTCCTGCAGATTGTGTAAAGCTTCAGATGTGCCGATGCCTTAATGGTAATTTGGGGGACTTCTAATACACAAATCTTGATGTAACAGGCTGGGAAAACAAAGCTCTAAAAAAAGCTTTTTTGAGCTCTAAAGCTGATCCTCCCTTCTTGTGTTCAATTAAAAAGAAGAGAAAGGGATTAATTTTCCAGGTACTACCACAAAAGAGGCCTCCTTAGTATATTCCCCCCATCTCAGCTACTTAAGTAGAGATACATGGAAGCCAGACTCCAAAGGACAGAGTAATATGGAAGTCAAGACCCATCTGATGGGTGAGGTGGGATCATTGCTATTCTTACCACGCAAGACTGCTGTGCCATGAACTTGCTCCCCATTGCTCAGAGCGTGGCCAAAATGCAACCAGCAGGAGGCCAGGGTGGTGTGGTCAACAGCAGAGGCCACGTGGAGGTCAAGACGAGAAGTGGCCCCTTGCAAGTATTGCAAGAAGAAAGGGTCAGCCTGGACCACATACTGGGAAGTGAAGTTGTAGCGGGGTCGAATGCCCAGGGCCAGAGGTGTGCAGTGGGTCTCAAAATCATAGAAGGCATATGTGCAAAAGGTGAGAGGTTCTGGATCGCCCAGGAGTTGGACAGCCTCAGCTGACAGAATCGCCCCAGAGATGTGCAGCTCAAAAAGATTCTCCCCATGTTGCAATTTCAGGATCTTGCCAGGGACTGCTTCACTTTCAGAGTTACTGTCAGGTGGCTGAAGTGGGACAACTCTTGTTCCATATGCCACATCCTTCAACCGCTCTGGGAGGAAAGAAAGAGCCAGATCCACAAAGCCCCATTCCTTAGAACTCCCCACAAACATACACACATACTTAATGAATCTTAAGAAGGAATTCTCAAGAGAATTAACTGAACTCAAGTTTGATGGCAATAATTAGGTGTTGGTGTTAGATCCAGTGCAGCAGAACCCCTCCTTTTGACAGATTTGATATTTTGATCTTGTAGGTTCTGTCACAAAATGGTTGACAAGGAAGGGAAGTTCCATCTTCACAAAATTACTGCCCCAGTAGGCATGTCAAGACACACAAAGCATGCACACTTTTTTTTTTTCAATGTGATAGGACAAGAAGTTTGGCTAATGCCAAGGGAGAGGTCTCCAGACAAGCTAGTACTTCTGGACCATCACATTGGCAAGCAAAATACTGCAATTGTGTTCTAAGGTTCCCATGAAAATGAGTTCTTCAGGTATGCCACAAATCTGCAGTCAGAGTCAAGGTCCTGAATGAAAGATCGGAAAACAGCATGGGCGGCTACACAGAAAGATTAGAGTACTTCCAGAAGGACTAGTCCTAGCTCTACCTGCTGAAGGCTTTCTATAGCTATCCAACCCTTCTCTCTTTATCAGAGGATTCATGGTGAGGAAAAGACCGAGGAAGCTATGGAAAAGCACAGGAACAGAGAAATCAGCAACAGTGTAAAAATTTGCAAGTGAGAGAAGACAAACTGCCTGGATTAGAAACATCCTAAAATAGGTCAAGGTCAGGTCAGGTCAGGTCAAGTCAAGTCAAGTCAAGTCAATTCTCCTCTCAGTTGAGCTTGACTCTTGATGACCTCATGGAAATATCCATGCAGTACTTTGGACAGTAAGCCAAAAACAGGTTGCTATTACCTTCTTTCAAATTATTTATTCCACTTCCCAGCCTAGCCTAAAGCTGTGGGATTTTCCATCTAAGTCCTAACTGGTCTTGAGCCTGCTTAGGATGATCAGGTACTGCCCCTTGCTGAGATCAAGATAAATTGCTTATGTGAAACTACCTTGATGTAACTGAAATCTCATTAACACTGATTGATTGATCGATTGACTCAAAATATTTATATACAGCTTATTTTAAAAAAAATCCCCAAACAGTTTACAATGGTGTAAAAAGATATGATAAAAATAGAGTTAAACGGGAAGAAAACAATCCATTCAAAGCACATTTTACAGAGAGTTAACTGCTCTGGAAGGCCAACCTAAAAAGGTAAATTTCAAGACCCTTGATAATACATCATTGTTAGGGAATGATGTGGAACAGAGGGGAGGTCATTCCAGAAGCCAGAGAAAGTCTGTTTCCAATGTTACCACCAATCAACAATCCATAAACCAGATTCTCATCATGTGCAAACCAGGGAGCAGCCTGGTTGCTGAAATGGAAACCCCATTTGGGCACCTGTCACTTTAAAAACTAAGATACAACTGTGGATGGTGTAGAGAAGGAAATTAAGCCCCAAGGAAAGGTAATGTCCCAAATACATTTGGAAACATTTCTCAGTTCCACAAGGTTCCACAAGCCACCCAGAGTCACCTGTTGGGGGAGATGGGCGGCATACAAATTTAAACAAACAGGAAGGAAGGAAGGAAGGAAGGTTGGTTGGTTGGTTTAGATGCTTGGATTTCAATCTCAAAGCCAAGGTTGTGTACTTCAAGACTACATCTTCTTATGCAACAATCCTTGAATTGTGGAATACCTAAAATTGAGCAGTAGGAGAGAAACACACACACACACACATTTACTGTGCACACCTTCAAGTTGATGAATACGGGCTCTACGCAGGTCCAGAAGTTGGTCCATCTGCTGTTGCTTCTCCTGGTGCTCCTGTTTCTCCTGCATGGCCTGCATCAGCACCCTTTCCAACTCCACCTCCAACCAAAACAGTAGTCAAAGACTCAACTACAACTGATACTAGCTCCCTCATCATTCCACCTGTTTGCCTTGTAGACTGGTCAATGACCTCTATTAATTCACCAGCTGGTGTCCTCTGACAATTTTCATCCTTCCCAACTGGCCTGGTCATTGGCCAGTGAGGACACCAGTTGCAGAGAGAATCTTCTAACAGATGAGAGTTAATGATACCATGGGCATTAGCCAATCCTTCATCACATCCCAATGTTAGCCAATAGGTCCTATATATATTCAACTGAAATGCAAATTTGCAGAATTGGATTCTACCAAGTTTAACCTCAGACAGAACATTGTTCATCTAACTAGGAAATTGTAAATATACCTCTAGAGCAACTTTGTGGTTCAAGTAATATTTTATTTGGATAGATTCCTAATCCTCCAAGATCCCTATCCTAGGTGTTGGATATCTTTTGGTTGCACCTGATAATCCCGATTAATGCGGTGCTGCAAAATGACCATGTTGCGTGTCTTCTCCAGTTCTAGCACTGTCTCTGCATGTGCAGCCTCAGCCTCATGAAGCTGTCGCTTTAGGCTCTCCTGGGCGAACATTTCATCCTCCTCATGACCTCCTTCCAGAACTTCTACTGACAGGCTCTGCAAGGAAGGAAGGCATGGTGGGGCAGAGACAGAAGGAAAGCAAAATATGGAGTTTAAAATGTTTGGGACTATCAAAACAAACCAATGTTATGTTTTACAACTCAGGAAACATAACCACTTATTCACCACCACCATATTATCTTGGTATTCAGGTGCAGTGCCATTCACACCCAAGAACCATACATATTCTGCATTGAAATGTCTTGCAAGGTTGCAAACACACTTGCTTCTTGCTCATTCAGCCTGGAGCACTTTAAAAGAACCCTTTTCAGATTTAATTAAGACAAAGATTTACAGTGAAAATTTGGGCGGATAACTAGAAGTTCCGTAAAGTCACCTCAGACCATTTCCTCCTGCTCTGGATAAAATCTCTGGGTCAACAGAGAAGTACATCAGCAAAATCCATGCTGCCCTCAAGGCCTTGTTTTACTGTAGCCACAAGGCTGGAGTGTAGTGCTGTTCTCACAGTTTTAATGTGGGCAGTTTCAGGCAGCAATTTCTGGATTGCTTGGTTTTCTTTCCTCTGCCACCCAGCGTTACCTAGCAGCAGGAAAAACTACCACCAACCACTATCCATAAAGTGTGAATGGGAAGGATTCCAGATTCTTCCTCCAGCTGCATCCCACTCACACCCAGATGTATTGTGGTTGTTGCCACAGGACCAGTGGTGTCCACAGCAGGGGTCAAAGGGAGCAGATTGACAAAAGCAGCTTCACACTGTTGTGACACAAGCTTTCCCTTTTGATATGTAAGTTGTATCAATGTACACGTGGCCAGAAGGGCTGGAGCTTGCAAGATGACACTGCTTTCATGCTTTGATGAAAGCAGGAGCTTCTTCAAATGCATGGACCTATAGTGCACCCAGAAAATCGAAAGTCCTGTTTCAAAATCAATCAAACAAACAAACAAGAAACCCTGATCTATCGGTTAGAATGTTGCTCACACTGAGACTGACAGTTCCCTCCTGCCTCATCTGCTCCTCTCGTTTTTTTTCTTCCAATGAGACCATGAAGCTGGATGGTCCTATAGGAGATAGATAGTCCTATAGGATCAATAACTCTATGAAAGATTGACAGGCCTATAAGAAAAAAAAAATTCCGGCTGAAAGATTTGTTCTGCATAAGCTAGGTGTCCAGTCTCTCTAGCAGAGCACTCCGAAACAGACCTACAGGGCAGTATCCAGTGAGGGGACAGGAAATTAATATTCTTATGTTAGAAATGAATGAAACTGCCAGTCTTCCAGGAGTTCAAGAGACCCATGTTGAAAAAATAAAAAAAACTCAGCCTGTCATAGGCAGATCAACCCAACTTCTCCTACTTCCCACCCACACATCAACCAGAATTTGCTTATTTGTTTTTGACACAAGCAGAACAAACAAGACCAACATTCATTTGGAAAGCACCGTTCTTCCAGGAGACCAATATTCCCATGTCAACAGCAACAACATAGACTGCATATCCTAGATGTCCGGTCTCTCTTACAGCCCAAGTCAATAGTGTTAGAAGGGATGGTGCTCAAGCAACCAGATCGGTGAGGTGAGGGGTGCAGACTTCAGCAGCCGATAGGACCTGGGCAGATTCCTGTCCCTGATCTCATCATCACCACTTTGGTCAACAAGGCATTGTAGATTATTCATACAGCAAGACTTGTGTCAGAAGAAGAGGAGAAACACCACTTAAACAAGGAACAGCTGAAGATAACTTCAGGCTGCCTTTGCAGTGGACAGAGAAAGAGACCAAGGGGATGTCACAAGGACATGCCCCCATAAAACTGCTAGCAAGAGATCTTCATGCCATGGGAAACAGGATGTGAGGACGATCCATCCCTTTATGTTTCTGTTTTTCTTCTCTCTCTCAGTCCAGAGCAAAATGTCATTCCCTCCTTTGTCCGTCCCTTCTTCTGCTTCCCGCCTTGCAAATCTCTTCCGTCCTAACCTCTCTGCAGCTGTTCCCCCAGTGTAGCCCAGCAAGTCACAATAGCCACAGGATCACAGATCATTTTCCTTAAACTTGCTGCCTTTGCTGCTCATCCTGGTTTCATCACAACCTACCTGGGTTGGGTTGGATTGAGATGGTTCCTCTAGTGCCTGGTTTTCCAAGATGGCTGTCTTCTCCTGCAAAGAGTTGACTTCCTGTTTCAGCGCCTCATTCTGAGCTTGTTGAACAAAGCAAAAAAATGTTACCCAGGATATTTTAAAAGTGCCAAGGATTTGGTCCTTCTCTTCAAACCCAGCGTCATTGCTAAATAACAGGCAGTTTTAAATTTGTGTATTTAAATAGCTTAGGGCCTGAAGAAACTGTCTCTCCTGATATGAACCCACCAAGTTACTCTCAGGATGAAGGACTCCCTCAAAGATACCTCTACTGCCAGAAGTATGGAAAGTCTATGAGATGGTTTCTCCTGGGAGGTATATTTGCCCCCTGCCCCCTGCCCTCTGCCAAGTATTTAGAAAAATGACAACATTCCATCGCTTTCAACAAACTCTTAATTGAAGATTTTTCATTTTAATTACATTGTTGTTATTACATTTTATCAATTGCATTTTTAACTGTTGTAAGTCATCTTGAGTGTTGGTATAGAAAAAAAAGGTACTCTGTGTGTGTGTGTGTGTGTATACGTATATATGTATGTGTCAAGCCCAGCCCAAGAACAACGATGAAACAGTACTGTTGAGTATAGTTCCTTTATTTGCTTACACCTTATAGACAGAATCTTGCCAAACTAAATCTGTACTACAGCAACTAGTGGATATACCCTGTGAGATTCTAGGGAGTGGCTATCCTGAACCTCTTTCACTTCCCACACTCCTCTTGCGAGCTGTATTGCCTTTTGTCTCCTTTCCCCTCCTGGAATGTACCCCCTCCCTCCTGATAGCCTTGATTTCCCACATCCTCCTCCTCCTCATAGATAAATTCCATCACAGTATGTGTGTTGAATTTTGAAGAAGCCAGACAGAAAGAGTATTGACAGTTTTGAACTCTGGTGTTGGAGAAGTCTCCTGAGAATACCATGGACAGCCAAGAAAACAAACAAATGGATCCTCGAACAAATCAACTCAGAGTTCTCACCTGAGGCACAAATGACCAGGCTCAAATTGTCCTCTTTAGACACATTATGCAAAGACCTAGCTCTCTGGAGAAGGCTCTGCTGTTGGGAAAGGTATAAGGAAGGAGAAGGACAACCAGCAGCAAGATGAATAGACTCAGTTACAGTAGCCATGAGTGCACCATTGGAAGAGCTGAAGGACCAGGTTAGGGACAGATCGTCATGGAGAAAATCTATGTGGTCGGTAGATTTGACAGCAACTTGATGGCACATAAATTTGTGTGTGTGTGTGTGTGTGTGTGTGTGACATGCTATATATATACACACACACATGCATAAACACATATTCTTCAGTACAAGTTAGAATCGTATGAGAAAGCTGGACAATCTCCATGCTTACTAAGATATGAACCATGATTGTCCATAATTAGCGCCTAGAACTTCCCTGCTGAAATAAAGTAAGCATATTTTGATTCCCTTAATCAAAGGCTTGCATTGCTTGATTCACTTAGGTCTGCCTTGCATTCTGCACAAAGACTCTGCAAGCTTCTAGTTTCAATTGATCCCTCACCTTTTTCCTTTTTTAGCTGCTCCTCTAGAATCTCCTTCTCTACCATTGCTGAGTTGAGCTGATCTTCCAAAGAAGGAGCACTGTCCTTCTGGGGCACCCAATCCAGATTTTGTCGAGCAGCATTGATGCAACTGATGAGATAGGGATGATACAAAATCAAGGAAAAATAAGGCTGTCTGCATTTTTAAGGTGTCCCCAAGCTCTTCTCTAAAATATGAGAGTGTAATGGAAATCTCTCATATTCCAAGAGTCCACCTGAATTATTACTGTTGTGTGACAGTACTTCCTTACCTGTCCAACAGTTGTTCATAATCAATCTTCAATGAATCTCGCTCTGCTTCCAGATCTTGGACTCTCTCCTGGAACTGAGAAGGTAATAGATGGGATCCTAATTCTGCCTGAGACTCCAGAACAGATAGGAAGAGGCTAATTAAAAGTACAGCATCCATCTGAAACTATAAGCACATGGTTATAGAACTAATTCATAGTTACATGGGTCAGAATTCAAAAACAATAAAATATAAATTAAAAAAATAGTTACACGAGACAGGAGACGTTTATCATTTCTTACTAGATTATTGGATGATTTGCAAAAAATTCTTTGGCAAGAGCACAATAAAAAGATTGACCTTCCCCATTAAGTAGAGATGTTGCAAATCCTTCTCTTTAATTATTCACATGTGTACATACAGTATGTATTTGTATACAGGGGTCAGCACTCATAGGATAGAAACAATACCTGGACCCAATCCCTGAGCTGCCATTTTGCACCTGACTCCTTCCTCAAGCCATTATTTTACATATGACTCTGATTGGTCAATAGGATTCTATTAAAAAAAAAAAAGTAGGTATAACAACTAAAAATGACTGAACTTCATATTATCTCAAACTATAGAAGGGTTTTTCATATAACCATTTTGCACCTTGAGATAACATGAAGTTCAATCAACAGATCTTAGACTGGTTGGGACTAAGAAAAATAGGAGATCTTCTTGATTGACTGGCAGTATAAAAACTTAGAAATGTCCAGAGTTGCTATGAATACTAGAAATCCTCTCACCTTCTGTCTGTGTCTGACCTAAGTCTTTGCTCTTCTCTAATTTCTAGATCTTCCTTAATGGACCCTCTGGAACATGAGCAAGTCTAAATTCAAGCAAGAGATTCAGAAGATCTCAGAGGCTTGAAAAAAAGTTTGATCTGGGGTGGGGAGGTATTTTAATGTATTGGTTCCTCATTTAGGACTCAAAGCAGTTAACAAAAGCAAGGGAAATAAATACACCAAAATTAGGGGCAAAGACTTTAAAACTCTCTATGGAAGAGGCAATCTGCATTGTTAGGCCTCAAGCTCTTGGTGAATCAGGCAAGTTTTAAGTGATTGACAAAAGGTGAATTGGTGTAGAGCAGTGTTTTTCAAGCTTGGCAGTTTTAAGATGTATGGACTTCAACTCCCAGCTGGTTGGGGAATTCTGGGAATTGAAGTCCACACATCTTACAGTTGCCAAGTTTGAAAAACACTGATTTAGAGCATCCCAACACTCAGAAGGTAAGGTACTCTACAGCAGCTAAGACACTCCCTTTACTTCACATGGGGTGAGGACCCCTAGGGATCCCTCCATGCAGGAATGCATGGAGCACAGCAGATCTTGCTGGGAGAGATGGTCCTAGAGGTACCTGGGAGCCAAGCCATGAAGCATTTTAAGAGGGATAACCAGCACTTGGAACTGGACATGGAAGCAAATCAGCACCTACTGCAGCAGTCATAAAATAAGAGTTACGTGGTTACATCTGTCACATAATTAGCAGAAAGACCCCTGTACTTTGAACCAACTGAAGCTTCCCAGGCGTCTTGGAGAGTACATAGCAGTAGTCAATGGCTTTCCATAGTTCCTTACCTCTTCCAGTGTTCCCCGCAAGGGTGAAAGGATTTCTAGCCGGCTCTCCAGTACGGCCACCTTCTGCGTCTTCTCCTTGAGGTCAGCATTCAAATCACCAAGCTGGGCCAGCAAGGCTTCACTGGCTGACCTCAATGCCTCTTGGTTCTGGTGCAGACAAGAAGACAAAAAGGGCACTCTTAAGATCTAGCCCCTTGGGTGGCCTTGGAGTTCAGTTCTTACATCTAGTACTAAAAAAATAATGATTGAGAAAGATATTTGCTGGAGGTGAGCCTCATAAGCCTAGACAGAGGACAGCAAATTACAGATTAAGAAGGATAAGAAGAAATGTATTTCTTCCGTACATCTCCTAATATCGTATTCACAAGAAGAAGGATCCTGTTCCTAGGAAAAGATGGACAAGATCTCTCCCTCTTTTCTCCCCCATCACCAGAAATACAGGCTGTTGAGTATTAAGGCCTCAGTTATGATGCCCAGCATCCCTCAATATTCATCCAGAGGCCAAAAATGTGACCTCTATTTTACAGAACCAGGAACACTCCCAGGCCTGGAAAGTTGGCAATAGGAAATGGGTGGACAGAACAAGAAGAGCAACAGCAACAAGGGTGGATCTGTAGCAACTCAGCACAAATGGGGGAGATCAGAATATTTAGAAAAAGAGAGGGAATGCTTCGTTCAAGCACAGCACTTTCCCATGATGGGGAAAGTGGCAGGAAGACAGAGGCAAGGAGAGTTGAAGAGCTGCTTTTCCCCTGCCCCGCATCTAAATAACTTTTCAGATGTTTCACACTTCTGCTCCTGTGAGACTAGGCTGAAGCTGCCATAACATAAAGATGAAGCAGGCAGTAAGCAGAGAGGATAAAAGCCAGGAAACTTATCTAAGAGATCCCTTCAGGGAGGTAGATAAGAAGGAAGCAAGTCTTTAAGGAAAAAACAAAAGGACCTGAACCAGAAAAAAAAAGTTGGGTCTGAGCACATGGAAGCCCTCACCCCAATCCCATCAACTTGTAAATCAACCCAGCAAGGACTTTTACTAAAGGGGTCCCAAAGCCCGCCCACTCTGAGTCGTCTGAGTCATCTGAGTCACCTTTGGATCCAGACTTGGCGGCTTCAGTCCCTCTAGCTAGTGCCTGGCAGCCTAGTTGGGAAGGACTTGGGTAAGTATGGAAGAGCGCATGTGTGTGTGTATGAGAAAGAGCAAATGTACCTTGCAACCAGTAAAGTTTTGCTGTTCCTTTAAATTCACTGGGTCTCCGTGTATTACGAAGAACCTCTTGTGCCTCAGTGTTCAATGGGAAGTGATTTGTGTGTGTCCCTAATTATCTCCCAGCTGTTGACCAGGGCTGTGTGTTTGTCTGCTCCAGCCACACCTATCTGGAAAACCCAGGTAGAAAGCAAGGGGGGTTGACAAGATCCGCGTGCTCAACAGGCTGTGAGTGTGTGAGTGAGTGACCATAAGCCGAACCTGGGAGCAGCTTGTGTAACACTCCAAGGTCCAGCGGGTTAGGAAACACTCCATGAAAGTGCCAGGTGTTACCTTGTGCAAGTCAGTAATCTGGGCTTTGGTGATCAGCAGTTCTGAATTCTTCTCCCATAACAGTTTCTGCAGCCGAATCAGCTCCACGTTCTTCTGGATGGCAGTTCTGCTGAGCGAGGGAAACAAGTTGTCATAGATCAGTGATCTCTTCCCACCACACAGACACACAGTCATCCTCATCTATGCAAAACCAATAGCTCGAGAAAAGATTTATTACTGACACTGATCCTAAAACAATGGGCTAAAATAGTCTCAAGGAATGTCCTGCAGGAATATGATTTTATATTTTGTTATTCCAGGTCAAAAAATTCATAATGCTCCCAATTTATTAAAAACCGTCTAGCCTTAACATGTGAATTTCACTCTTCTAAAACCAAACTCCAAAAACCACAACAGCACACACTTTGAAATTCTGCTTCTGTTGAATTTATCATTAAAAGCAGAAGAATTAAGAGCACCTTAAAAATATACGGTCGGGGCGGGGGAGGGGGGCTGGAAGACATTTCAGGTGTAATCCTAGATCAAATCCACTGAGTGAGATAGACAACAAAATGGTACCGGTATTCCTGCAAGTAAGGGTGGCTTTTCTGGGGTTCCATGTTTTCTGCATCAGTTTCTTTATCAAGTGTGGAACTCAGCAACTCATGATCCTTGTCTAACTCAGCCAGTGCCAGACTGTGGGTCCTGAAAGAAAAATCAAAGCAGAAATATAATTTAGTTTTCCATTCATTAATAGGAAGGAGAGAAGAAAACAACTCATGGTTCTAAAATGCAGATCTTTAAGACTGATCTTTTTCCAGCACTGAGGAAAAGATCTCATAATGAGAGAGGGGAGATTTAAAAATTTGTGTAAAGGGATGTTTCTGATGTTCCGAGGTGAGTCTTGCAGGCTAGCAAGAAAATGCACATAGCCAGGAAGTGAGTGGGCAGACAAGACTCACGGTGTCTCTGTTTCTGCTTGGGTCCTTTCCAGAACATCATCAGCATATCTGGGAGGGGTTGGCCTGACAGTCATCTCTGATACCTGCATCTCTGGGGGGCAAAGAAAGAAAAAGAAACAGATGAGCTGACTGACATGTCCTCTAATCTCCATGACAGTGTTTCTCAACCTTGGCAACTTTAAGATGGGTGGGCTTCAACTCCCAGAATTCCCCAGCCAGCATACTGGAAGTTGAAGCTCGCCCATCTTAAAATTGCCAAGGTTGAGAAACACTGCTCTATGGCCTTCCCATCATGCAACAAAGACATAAGCGTCCACAAAAAGTCCACCTGAGGGCTTCTCTGGACAATCTAATCAACCTGGAACCTTCCCAGCAATGAACACATCAACCTCCCCAGCCCTTCTTACCTTTGTGTGACTTCTTGGGCCCTTGTCTGGCAGAGGTATGTGCCTGACGAAAGCCCGTGTTGACCTTGGCTGTGACGTAGCCGTAAGGACAGTGGCGACCACAGCCCTGCAGCTGTAACTGTTGCTTGTAGAAGAGCAGGTGACTCCTCAGACGCTGGTTGACTTTTTCCAGCTCCCAAACCCGTTCCTGCATTTCTTCCAGGCCCTCTTCCAAGACCTGGTTCCGAACAGAGTTTTGAAGGCAGCTTCCAGGTCTCCCGTTGGCTTGTGCTCGCTCATGACTGAGTCTTGATAGTTTGGTGCCCGTCCTGGAACAGCAAAGAGAGAACATCCCCTCTTGATCTTTTCAGGGAGAGCTGCTGTTTTAGCAGGACCTTGCTTGGGTTTCTGCTTCAGGAACTCAAACGTGACCATTAATTAAGAAGAACTTAGATCAAAGTTGCAGTGGGAGACAAAACCCAAAGAAGAATCATATAGGAAAAGATGGAACGGACTAAGTAACCTTGAACAAAAAAAAATGCTCCCCAGTGAATTTACTGTGATGTATTTTTGTGTATCAATCTAAACATGAGCTTCATTTCTGTCATCATCAAGACTTCCTCAGTTTAAATCATCTTTGGACTGAAGCACCTGCCTCCCTTATTTATTTGTTAACTTCCTTGCATTTCAATGCCACATTGCAATTCTAGTGTTCTGCCCTAAGAGGTCACTAGAATTGCCTTGGCTTTAAAGAGGAAGCAGTGAGCTGGCTGGGGAATTCTGGGAGTTGAAGTCCACACATCTGAAAGTTCCCAAGGTTGAGAAACACTGCTCTGGAGAGTTGAGGAGTCTAATGTCTTTCATTAGTTCTTTTTAAAAAGATGTTTAACATGCACTTTTTTCAACAGGCTTTTGACAGCTGGTTTTGATTTTTACTTATTTTATATGCTATTTTAACTGTTTAACTTCCTGATGGTAAGATCTGCCCAACAATGGGACTAGCTACACTATCTATGGAGGCTATGGGTGCTTCATTTGGGAAGTTTCTAAGAAGAGACTGGACAATTTCCTCCCATGGTGGTTTGATTTGCTTTCTTGCACATTGCAGAAGGTTGGACTAGATGATATTTATGACCCCTTCCAACTCTACAATTCTATGATTCTAAGTGGGACTTAAAGTCACCCTGGTGCAGGGCTTTCCTATAATATTTTATTCATCCTTTTAAAATCTTCATTTCAGTATGACTCCAGGTACAACAGGCAAATTAAGAGAGCATGCAATCAGTGGTTGTACTTAGTGGATCAGATAGATCACCAGGGTATTATCCAACAGATAAATGTGTTTAATAGAAGTGCATGCCACCTCCAAGACCTTTTAATCCTATTCTCCTGCTTTTGAGTGAACTCTTTGAGCAGCAAACGTTCACCACGAAATCGTAAAAAATGATCGGCCAACTCCGCACGGCTCACTCGGTTGATCTGGTGCCGAGTCTTTGCTAATGATCTTGATCCTGGAAGAGGAAGGGAGAGAAGATGATAATTACATCTAGGCTGGAAATCATGGGGGAGAAATGTAAACTTACGGAGCATCTAGCATTTCCTCCTTAGCCCTCCTAAACACTCAGAGTTGAGAGCTTCTTGATTTCTCCAAGAACATAGATTCCTAATCTCGTTTCCCACTGGATTTATCTGAACTCTGTTTTTGTCAGTTCCACTCACCCTCAGAGTCTGCAATTAGATAAAGAGCATTGGCTTTTAATTAATAACCCCTTGCTGCCCACCTTTCATTTGTATTTTCACCCTTTCAGATTTGGCAGGGATGAGAGCTGAAGAGGACGCACCTAGAGAAAGAAGATGCGAAGAGAGAAAATTGAATGAATGAACCATCACCATATAATGAACCATGTCCTATCTATCTATCTATCTATCTATCTATCTATCTATCTATCTATCTATCTATCTATCTAATTTATATAACTGCCCATCTGACAAACATGACTCTGAATACAGTTATATGAATGTAAACACTTGAAGAGATTTCCCCCCAAATATTGCAACATTCTCCCACAAATGCTTATAAATGGCTATCATACCACTACAGTTTCTTGGATATACTGTATAAAGCTCAGGTTGAGGCTTGGACACATGGGGAATATCACTTTGCTACCTTCCTTGCCAAATAAACCAAGTTTCCAGTCCTTATGGAGGCAAAGATTGGAAGCAAAAACACACTGTCAATTTCACATGGGAGATGAGCAAAGTTTCAGTGTTCTGCAGAGCAGGCCTCTCTGCTTCAGGGATCCAATAAGTCAAATAATGAAATCAATGTGGAATTGCATTAACTTTTCTGGGTGGCAGTATTCAACTTTTGTTGAGAAAGAGTTAGATTCTTTACCACTCTTCCCATCTCAGGATAATAATATTACGGTTGAAATATCATAGCAGGTGACAGCATCTAACCAACCTTGGCTGATCTTGGAAAAGCTAAGCAGGGTCAGACCTGATCTGTACTTGGATAGGAGACCACAAGGAAATTCCAGGTCAATAGGGATTTCACAAAATATCCCAAATCACCTCTGTATTTGACAACAACACAAATGGGCCCATGAAGCCACCAGGAGTCAGGTTCAGTTCAAAGAAGGCTCTCTCTGACCCCTGGGTGTCAAAGCTAATAGCCATACCACTGAGATTCTGTCATACCGTGAGGAAGCAAGAAATAAGGACTTTTTTGCCTTTTGGGATCCCACACTGGCTAGGAGTTCCAGGAATGGCAGTTCCAAACATCAGGAGAGCACCAGTTTGGGAATCTTAATCTTTATGGCTAACCTTGAAGGGCTGTTATTATGGAGGGCCTCTGGTCAGTGCCTTGGACAGGCAGGTTTCCTGTGGTTTCCTCCAGCAAAAACGACATGGTTTGGCAAGGATGGCCTGTAGCTGTAGCTGTGGCAAAGGCAAAACCAACAAGGAAACTTAAATGCAAGGAAGCGAAACTAAACGCAACAGTAACACCCCTGCAAGAAATGGAATGAAGTTGGAAATTTGCACTTACTTCTAAGCTCCCTTTGATGGATTGCCTATTCTATGGTGGGCACGTATTACTACCCATATTACATACTACCCGACTTGCATCCACGCTAGACTGCTGCAATTCAAAGTACTGATGTGGACCTTCGCAGCCCTGAAGGTTTGTCTCCAAGGGATCTGAAGGGCTGCCGTGAATTAAGATCTTGCAGTGAATTAAGATACAGGTAGTCCCCGGGTTAAGAATGCCCAGTTTAAGGAGGACCCATAGTTAAGAACGGAGCCTGTTGTAGCAGAATTCGAGTTAAATACACAATGATTCAAGTTAAATACACAAGGGTTTGAGTTAATTACACAATACTGCTTATGTGGTATTATGCAATAATGCTGTTTTGGCTCACATACAGATTTGACTTAAGGACAGACCTTGGGAACGGAACTTGTTCTTAAACTGGGGACTCCTTGTACTCTTCATAAGGGCTTGATTTACTATTCAGCATGACCCACAGATATTAAAAGGACCATCTTCTCTGCAGTGGCCTGTGGAATTCCCTACTATAAATTATTGCTTGTTATTGTATTGCTCCATGGAGATTTTTTAGAGAGATAGATTAGAGATAGAGATAGAGATAGAGATAGAGATAGAGATAGAGATAGAGATAGAGATAGAGCCAGTTTGGTATAGTGGTTAATGTGCCAGGCTAGAAACCAGGAGACTGTGAGTTCTAGTGCCACCTTAGGCATGAAGCCATCTGGGTGACTTTGGGCCAGTCACTCTCTCTCAGCCTTAGGAATGAGGCAATGGCAAACCATTCTGCAATGTTATCAAGAAAACTGCAGGGACTCATCCGAACAGTCACCAAAACTCAACATTGACTCGAAGGCACCAAAAAAAAAAAAAAGATAGATAGATAGATAGATAGATAGATAGATAGATAGATAGATGATAGATAGATAATAGATAGATCTGAGAGCCAGTTTGATCTAGTGATTAAGGCTCCAGGCTAGAAACCAGGAGACTTTGAGTTCTAGTCAATGGTGACTTACAGCTAGTCACTCTAGGATCCTGCACATGTGGGAAAAATGCTAGGATGGAAAAAAAAAAGGGGATAGATAGATAGATAGATAGATA